ATATGAGACAGTATTCAGAGAAGACAATGAAAAAGACATTCCTATTTTAAATTCAGTGTCAGTGTATTTATGTACCCAGCTGTGACAGAGTCCTCTCTCTGGTTGCTCCCATGGTTCTCACCTCTGTGTCATATCTGTTTCCTGCAGAGCGCCCCTCCGCAGATCTCAGCCCGTGGCCGCTCCGATGATCTCACTACCATTCTGTCTGTCATTGACGACGCCCAGAAATTCATTCACATCTCTGTCATGGACTATCTGCCTATGTCTGAGTTCACAGAGCCGATCAGGTGACGAGCCACTCAATACAGAGAAAGGCAATAATGTTAACACTGTATCCTAGATATATTCATCATCAGACACAAATTGATTCCTCAGACAAAATAATGTATGAAATCCCTTTGTTGAGTAACTTGATGAGATGCAGGTGTTACAGTGACAGATAATGCAATGCAAGATGACTTGCAAGTAGATAAATAGTATTTAACAGTCACCTAACTGGACCCAGATTGTCTGACAAAGCAGCTTCTCCTGCTGACTGGACGCTTTCTAGTTCAGATGCTGGGAACTTGTCTCTGTCCTGGGATGCTTTTAGGTGTCCAAACACATTACACATATACTGATATTACAGAGATGAGAAGAGAGGACAATATAATCAGTATAATCCTGTCTTATTTTTATTTTCTTCAAACCGCATTGGTCTCCCTCTCTCAGGTTCTGGCCCGCCATCGACTCGGCCCTGCGTGCCGCAGCCTGTACCAGAGACGTTCAGGTTCGAATGCTGATCAGCTGCTGGGAGCACTCATCTGCCTCCATGTTCACCTTCCTGCAGTCCCTGGTGGTGCTCAACAGGCCTCATCTGAAATGTGACATCGATGTGGTACATTGGGAGATTTTATTTCCTCCACAGTGACAAAGACATAACAGAACGCTGATGTATCCTAAACTCCTGCTGTTGTTTTTTCTTTGTGTGTGTAGAAAATCTTCACAGTGCCTTCAACAGCAGAACAGATGAAGATCCCCTATGCACGAGTCAATCATGCCAAGTACATGGTTACTGACAGAGTGGTCTACATCGGTACGCTATTACCACTTGATTCATTTTTAGAACTCCTCTCACTCTTTGGCTCAGCAGTAAATTCACATGGCTCGTCAGACACTAGTGACTCTGTATGTCTGTTAATAAATAAGCATAAAATCATGCTTATCACTTTGTCATGTTGCTAATTACTGATGCAATACAGGTTGGCTTTAGCGCCGTGACACCATTGGCAAAGGCTTGTTTTTAATTTCCAGTGTGTCATGATGACAAATGCCGGTTAAGTCAATTTACATGAAATTAAACCTGTCTGAGCTCATATAATGGACCGGAACCAGATTGCAACCAACTGAACACCCCTCTGCTCACCCTCCCTTTCCAAACTTGCAGGAGAAACCACGGTGGCCTTCTGGTAACATAAAATGTTACAAAGCTCTTCTCTAGAGCCAGTGGTTGGTTTGTCTGTTCTGGACTACTGTAGACACACAGCATGCTCTGTGTTAAGAGGACCTTCTCCCTATGTAGATATGAAAGGCTCATTCTAAGATAACGAAAACACAACAATTCCTAATTCCACGTGATTATACACAAAAAAAAAAACACAATTATGAATACTCCATTTCCACCAATAGATCCCTCTAAACCCTACACGCTGGTTCTTTAAGTATAGGATGGGAACCCTTCATCCACTCCTGAACAGTCAGGTTGTAACTACATGTTTCTTTAATCTGCTTTGATAGTTCAGGGTTTTAGCTGCAGGTCTGCAGAGGTTGGTATTTGCTGAATTATAATCTATAGTCTAAAATAATTACAAGAAGATAAATACAATTAAATCACGGTAAACTGAAATTCCCTGCTGTCTGTGGGAAAGAAGAATTGCATCCATGTGGTGGTTAAAATCTATCTGTAATATAAATCTCATTAAAATGTGAGTCGTATTAGTTCCTGGGACTGTCAGGCTGTCTAACTGATGTGTCTGTTCCTGTGTTCACAGGGACATCCAACTGGTCGGAGAACTACTTCACCCAGACAGCTGGCGTGGGCCTGGTGGTGAATCAAACTGGCTCTGAGGTTCCAAAAGGCAAAGAGACTCTGCAGAGCCAAGCAGAGGAGCTCTTCCTCAGAGACTGGACGTCTGAGTATGCCAGCAGTCTCTCTGTTGACGATATGCATGTCTGCCCTCGCCGTAGACACTGAGGGTTAGTTGTTTAATAAAGCACATTGCATCGTAGATGAGCATCTTGCTTGCTCCTGCCACTTGAACTTTGACTTGTGCAGAATCTGCTTGCTGTATTGCGTGAATGAACACGCTTTATTTTATTGCTGTTCCTTTACCGACTGCCTGTTTTCTTTGTATATAATTGCGTTTTTATATTTGTTTCAAACATGTTATTTTTATACTCTGTGGTTCTGACGATTTTCTTACATGAGCTAAGGTGCAGGGGAATTCGCTTTGTACAATTAATTTCATGCCTGGAGCATTGTGTATATTTTCCCTTAAGATGTCGACGGCAAGCTTCAACGATCTCATGCAGGAATTAAAACATTCCAAAGAGGTGTATGCACCGTGTTTACACTGCTGGGGCTATCAGCTGTTATTGTTTATGTGTAGTGAGACTATGTATGTCATTCCAAAAGTACAAGATTGTTGTAAATACTACCAGTTTTCCATTCATAGCTAACGGCTGGCTGACAATCTGAATGTGTACCAGAACAGACAGATAATATCTCACTTCAATCAGAGTGAGCATGCTTTGTTTTTTCGATAGAAGATCTGTATGTGGAAAAACCAAACACTTTCCTTGCCTGCCATCTGTGTTTTACTGTATTGATAGTTACTAAATATTTCTGCCCTTCATTACTACGGTTATCTATTATATGCTTGGCACCTGTTTGTGTTATCAGTGGACATGTTCCCTGACTAACAGAGCTGTTTACGCGATGTCTCAATGTAAATAAATAATGCTTTTTTGTTCGTGATCCTTGAGAGCTTCACGAGGATGATGAAAGGAGTGAGACAATGATATAGGAATAGTTATGGTAGAGATAGTATTGTATCAGTTTGATTGTGCAGGTTTTAAGACATTTGTCTTTGAGGCCACATGATTACAACAGTGAATGGGATTTCATTTGTGGTGCTAAAAACATGGAAAACTTCCATAAAACAGTCTATAGTCATTCTAGCTGCTCTGGTAGGCTGTAATTTTAGGGATTTTTGAAGTGGAGCAGTATGAGGGAATTGTCTATAGAGTGTGTATTTGTATTATTACCTGATTCAAGTTGTAAAGCACAAACTATCTGATCAAGGCAGTGGTAGACCAGCAAGTTCTGTGTTCTGCAAAGTAAAATTACTGTTTTGTCAAAGGAGTATAGATAACAGCTTCAGTTCCCATTCAGAAAAGGCTGACAGTAAGGTGAAGTGATGAAAATATTCTAAATATAGCATACACTTAAACAGATGTTGATATTTTTTTTTGTGGTTAAAATGTGTTTTGTTGCTGCCCCTGTCCACAGCAGCACATTGCTTAGCTTCAGTGGCGGTACTTCTGCCTGCTTCTCCAAACTGGGGGCGTGCCAACTGACAGCTACTGTAGGTAATACACTGACTATGGCTAAGTGCCTCATAACCAACCAAACCATCCCTTTAATGGTGCTTTGAGCTAAATTTTAACATGGTCACATTACAAGCTAACATGCTAATATGAAAGAAATACTGCACTCATTTGTTTATCAATTACTCGTGTGTTATATGAAAATTGTGTAGAAAATTCTGTTCTCGCAGGTCTCCACGGTGAACGGAGAATCCAAAACAGGCAAACATTATTCATGAATTGAGGGAAACAGGGTTCACATTTAACAACAGCTAAACTATATAAGAACATAGATATATAAACTCTCACACAACTCTTGCAGTGCAACTAGTTATCTAGCAGTATGCTCAGGACTTCACAAACATATGCAGTTTTGAATGGGCCTGTGCACAATCCTGGGCACATATATATACCCAGGCACACTACTCAGTTGTACTTGTGTTAAGTCATAACATTTTAGTGTAAATGCATGTTTGGTAAGTACTGAGCATATGACTTGGCACATGATACTTGTATTATACTGCATGAGTTGTGTGACAGTTTGTAAACAGATGTATTGAAATAGTTTTGCTGTTGAATGTGGAGCCTGATTACTTCAATTCATTAGGAATGTTCGCCTTTTTTGGATTTGTTGTTCACTGTGGAGGCATGTGAGAGAAACAAGTTTTATAGGTATAATGTTTAGTATTTTCAATGACTTAGTTTAGCATGTTAGCATGCTAAGATGTATTTATTATGTCAAGTACTGGACACACTTAGAGATCCCCTGCAGACATGTTTTTAGACAAATATTGTACTTGGCATAATAATTTCTGTCTGAAATGTTTTTGTTTATTTAGATTGTTAAAAATGATTTATATCTGCTTCTTCTCACTGAACAATCAGAAATCTATAAATACATATTATCGCATACATTATTGCAAGGATTGCTGGACCCGTGATGTCACTGAGGTTTAGAATGAGCATAGAGAAACTGTCCCACACAGCAGATGAATATGAAACCAGCCCACTAGTCTTTAACTGTACACATACATGGATGAAAGGGGCTGGATTAAAAGTCAGGATTGTCAAATTTAAAGAATTTTAAGGGGACCATGAATGTCTGTTCCAAATGTTGAGGCAATTCATCCAATAGCTGTTGAGGTATTTCATTGAAAACCACAAATGTGAACCTCACAGTGGCGCTGGAGGAAGAGTCAGACAATCACTAAGGTCGTTAGGATTCACCCTCTGTGGACCATGCATATCTGTGCAACACTGAATCACAAGTAAAACAGTAGTTGTTTAGACGTTTTGTCTGGATCACAGTGATGGATATTTTCACCTCTAGAACCAACAGCGAGGCAAAAAGTCCACCATCATCATCATCCTTTATGAACAACCTTCAGACTTCTGTGTCAACAGACTTTATTGGAATTACATTACATTTTACACCATGTTCTGTGGACTATACAGAGTAATTGGCAATAAGTGAAAAATGTAAATCATCTGCACGGCTGGACCCAGCCAGCTAAGTGAGAAAATGTTATTTTTGTAATTTGGGTGATCTGACCCTTAAAATGCTTCCTTCGTAAGATACAAGAAAACTAGTAAAACAAAAAACATTTTTGAAGTTGTGCCATGAAGTCAAATAAAACACAGGCCAATCATCATGAGTTAACTCAGATCTGATAATCAAAACATTTGCTGACTCAGCTGCTTTACATGTATGTGCCTTTATTTTCACATTTTTAAAATTTTGATTAACACAAAACATTAAACAAGTAAACAAGTAAAAAACAAATGGAAACAAACTAGAACCTGTGCTAAATTTAAAGGATTTTGTTCTGTGTGCAAAACAATCTTCACGGTGGACTTTTTTTCAATCTCACACCATACTGAGAGTATCTCAGTGACATCTCCTGCAGTTGCAGATTTATCATTCCTCAGTCACTGTTGGATGCCTCACTCCCTGTGCTCTTGGCCTCTCCATCCGTCCAGCTGTACAGTACTTACTCCACACGTAACAGACGAAGACGACAACAGGAGGTGAATAACTTTGCTTCTCATTTGAGGAGCCAAACAGAAACAACCAGGATGGAAGTAACATAATTTGTACCATCTCTGATCATGACAGACATCCAGGTCTTATCCTATCCACGCACAGAGGGCTGGAATTATATGCAGGAGTGTTTGCTCAGACAGAAAGGGGTGAGTTCCTTCCTGCTTTCATTCCATGGAGAGCTGCACACTGTCGGTCTGGCCCTGCTGCTGGTCAAATTTCCTGGCTAAAAGAAAAGACAGAGAGAGATTCTAATTTACCTCTAGATTACCCAGAACGTCAACAGGAAACACAGGTGGCTATTTAGACTGATCGCGGTCTAGATTTTCAAACTAAAACATCAAAAACATTTGTCAGTTATCAGGGGTTTACATGCGTGACTGCCTTATGTTTAACAAAGAAAATATAGGGTTGAAAATATTATTTTGTTATGATATCCATTTTCACCAGAAGATGATAGGGTGAAATATACATTATGGATGTGCAGAGCCTCACTAATTCTCACCCAGAGAGTACATCTCTAGCTGCTGCCGCAGGCGGACCTTCTGCAGGCTGTCGTAGAAGTTGGGCTCTGGGCTGCTGCCGACGGTGGGAGGCAGAGTGAAGATACGCATGATCTTCCTCTTGTTTCTAAAATATAGGTGAACAGAGACAGATTTCAGAAAGAAAGAGAGAATCTGCTAATACAGGATATCACCATTTATTTCTGACAGCAGTTGTCATAAATAATTAATGATAACATTACATTAAAATGCATTATGTTTGGAGAATTACATGATTTTCGAATTAACCAGAAGACCCTAAAATAATTTTTCATTACCACAGTAATGCCACATTATGTCTACATATTTCCTTTTAAGCAGGGAAACAATAAAACACAAAAACAGTCAGTGGAGTCTGGCGTGAAAGGTGAACAGAGAGATTTCAGAAACAGAATGCTGAGGCCTTATGCTAATACAGAATATCACCAATTATTCCTGACAGTGGCTCTCACCAATAATTACAATTGACATTATATTAAAATACATTATGTTAGGAGGATTATATGAATGCCGAAAAAGCCAGGAGACCCCTTAAATTAATCCAAATACGAATGTACTGGTACATCATGTTCACGTATTTCCTTTTAAGCAAGGAAACATTAAATTACGAAAAATTTAAATGGGGTCTGGCCTAAATTTTAATATTTTGAGTGAAGACGCGAAGGGAGAACACGAGTGAAAATGTGTTGTGCCTCTATCCATTTAAAGGGAAGTGATACAGTAAGGAACTGACTACAGGTGTAAACTGTCCTTACTTTCTGGCGTACATCAGCAGGCCGAAGCTGACCAGGATAACCAGCAGGTAGACATTGGTGGCCTCATTCCAGGCTTCGTGCACTGAGTAGTCGATGGACTCGGGTTCGTTCCCCAAAACCCCGTGAGCACCCATTGAAATACGGCGACAACAGCCAAACCTTGCTTGTAAATGTGTGAAGCAGAAACGTTATTATATCCTTTTTATTTTTCTCAGCTAACGTTCATTTGCTACTCAAATTAGCGGTGTAAACACCACGACGTCACATCCGCCTACTTCGTCTTTTCTGTTTCCGGGGAGACAACAATCTCCGGGACGCGTTGTTGCCCCCTACAGTCCAAAGTGTGAACTCAAGCATGAAAAGGCGAAGTCCCACAATGCGGGTTGGGGGAGAAGGACACACATAATGATATCCCGTTAGGATTCCCTAAAAAAAACAATTCACACCTGTAGTAGCTGTCCAGAGAAGTCATACTGTGAAAAACTGTCATTTCCGAACCGAATAACAAATTAGGCCTGATGAATGCACCCTTTTTTTACATCCTGAACATAAATATAGGCTAAGGAATGTCAGCAGCTTCTCTCAACATACATCCTATGTGCCTTGTTGCCTCATTGTTCTCTTTCTTGGGCTTGAGGTCTAAGTACACATAGAACATTTGTGCACTTTAATGAGCAGATAAATTTCTGTCTAGCTTACCCATGAGGTGTCTATACTACACCTAGCAGCTGCTACACATGCACATTCCCTTTCCACATTAGTCATTTTTTTAAAGGACAGCGATGAAGACCCAAGATCTTCAACTTCAGGCCTCAGCTCCTCCACAAACAGAAGCAGAGAAGAAAGCAACACACAGCAGGTCAGTGTGAAGAGGCAGAGGAAGACTTCTGAGGACAGTGATGAAGACCTGTCTTGCACCAGGGTTTTTTTATTTATATTTTACTTTTGAATAATAGTTGATGATGCTGGACCAATGTACCAGCAGTAAGGTAACAGATAATGCGTGCTATACTGTTATCTGTTTTTCTTTATAAAGTATAGGTGGCTGTACCGGACACAGGTAAGTCAGTACTTAATGACAACTTTAACACAAGTCTCCTACAAGTATTTATCTCACTGAGCAGTATAATAAAACCACATCGTCTCTTTGGCTCACTGTGTCGCTGTCATGTGTTTTCAGGTGTAGGTGTCAATAACAAAGAGAGGGAAAGTAATAATTGCTGACATAAAGAAAAGTCTCCAAGTCTCTTTTACTTAGTTATTGATAGGTGTAACAGACCCCCCACACACAAGTAGCCTCATCGTGGAAGACCAAGACAGGACCAGATGAGAAGGATGGATGAGAAGGATGGAGGACTACAGGACCAGATGAGAAGGATGGAGGACTACAGGACCAGATGAGAAGGGTGGAGGACTACAGGACCAGATGAGAAGGATGGAGGACTACAGGACCAGATGAGAAGGATGGAGGACTACAGGACCAGATGAGAAGGATGGAGGACTACAGGACCAGATGAGAAGGATGGAGGACTACAGGACCAGATGAGAAGGATGGAGGACTACAGGACCAGATGAGAAGGATGGAGGACTACAGGACCAGATGAGAAGGATGGAGGACTACAGGACCAGATGAGAAGGATGGAGGACTACAGGACCAGATGAGAAGGATGGAGGACTACAGGACCAGATGAGAAGGATGGAGGACTACAGGACCAGATGAGAAGGATGGGGGACTACAGGACCAGATGAGAAGGATGGAGGACTACAGGACCAGATGAGAAGGATGGAGGACTACAGGACCAGATGAGAAGGATGGAGGACTACAGGACCAGATGAGAAGGATGGAGGACTACAGGACCAGATGAGAAGGATGGAGGACTACAGGACCAGATGAGAAGGATGGAGGACTACAGGACCAGATGAGAAGGATGGGGAACTACAGGATCAGATGAGAAGGGTGGAGGACTACAGGACCAGATGAGAAGGATGGAGGACTACAGGACCAGATGAGAAGGATGGGGAACTACAGGATCAGATGAGAAGGGTGGAGGACTACAGGACCAGATGAGAAGGATGGGAGACTACAGGACCACATGAGAAGGATGGGAGACTACAGGACCAGATGAGAAGGATGGAAGACTACAGGACCAGATGAGAGGATGGAGGACTACAGGACCAGATGAGAAGGATGGGGGACTACAGGACCAGATGAGAAGGATGGGGAACTACAGGATCAGACGAGAAGGGTGGAGGACTACAGGACCAGATGAGAAGGATGGGGGACTACAGGACCAGATGAGAGGGATGGACTACAGGACCAGACGAGAAGGGTGGAGGACTAAAGGACCAGATGAGAAGGGTGGAGGATTACAGGACCAGATGAGAAGGATGGGGGACTACAGGACCAGATGAGAAGGGTGGAGGATTACAGGACCAGATGAGAAGGATGGGGGACTTCAGGACCAGATGAGAAGGATGGATGACTACAGGATCAGACGAGAAGGGTGGAGGACTACAGGACCAGATGAGAAGGATAGATGACTACAGGATCAGACGAGAAGGGTGGAGGACTACAGGACCAGATGAGAAGGGTGGAGGACTACAGGACCAGATGAGAAGGGTGGAGGACTACAGGACCAGATGAGAAGGGTGGAGGACTACAGGACCAGATGAGAAGGATGGATAACTACAGGACCAGATGGAGTGATGGGTGCCTTTCATTCAGCGGGCTAAGTAAGTAATCCCCTCACTAGGTAAACAGGTAAAGTTAACTTTACATATGTGAATCAGTTTTATTAGAGGAGCCTTCTTGAACATTATTCATTGTTTATAATATCATTCCATGTATAGTTGAGTTCAGAAGTCTTCATTACTAATGTCTCTGTTTTGTAGCACAGGACTCCTCTGATGTTTTGGTGCTCTTGGGGCAGCAGAGAGTGGACGTCAATCATCCCAGGAAGACCCAACGCCACAGCAGACCACTAAACCACTCTCAGCACTCGAGTGAGTCCAGGAAGCCCCTGCCCCTCCACCCCAACCAACACCACCCTCTTTTTGGTGATATTACTTCAGTTGTAAACTATTTTTTACACTGTAGGATAATGCAGCCTCCCTCAATACCCTCTTGAGATATTGCATTTACAAGAACGAGATGGACGCACCAAAATCCAATCAGTTCATTTTTGAGTTCAGGTGGACGTTTGTGCCAAGGTGAGATGAGTTGAGATATCAGTGTCACAGAATGGGACAGACACAAGGTCACAGTGTAGAAGGACAAACCCTCGATTTTAAATGATTCAGTCCCTGGCCCTGTAAATGTAACAAAATAATGCACCCACACATGAAAGAAATGCCATCACAGACTGGAACAATAAGATGCAACACAGTGAGTTTATTTGTCAGTTTACAGTGAATCAGAACCAGTGAGTGGACTGCTCAGTCCTGCCTGAAGCAACAACATGGGACTGCTGGTTTCAGTAAGCTTCAACCAGTGATAATACCAATGACAGCTGCAGCTGCTTTGTTATGAACTAATTATATGTAAACACACTTATCCTTGTAGCTGATGAAATGTTTTTACTTCCACAGGTGTCTGCTGTAAAATAATTCTAACAATGACAGTGAGGGGAAAAGTTCAGTTTACAGTCAAATCTTTATTTTTAACCATATTTAAATCAGATCAAAGTCATTCATTATCAGCAATTACATGGTACCTTATATAAACAAATAACTTTGTTGCATCACACTGGCTTTTTTTTCTTCAAAATTATCTTATTTTCAAAATAGAATTTTATTAATTCATAACTACAGAATACATAAAGCGGCATTTAACATAATTGCTGCAAGTAATAACTTTATACATGAGACAGAGACAAGAGCCAAAGCTCAGTACACATAAAGTATTAGAAATGACACCAGGCTTTGAGGCCAATAACTGCAGTGGTTCATCACGTTACAGCTGAGAAGCTGCAGGAGGTGTTTCTTACACGCAGACGGGGGCAGAAAAAACACAAAAGAAATAATATGTGTGGTTGCTACTCCTAGCAAGTATGAAAAATACGGCATGGTAGCTACAACTCCACAAAAAGCCGAGGCGTTAGTGCTTTGTCAACACGTCAATATTTTAACGGAGCAAAATGAACACACTTCTGAAAGTTAATGGCTCGATGTTAGATGCACGTGCTTAAGAAACCAGCTCAAGTTCTGCGTCAATACCCAACCAGCCATACAGTACGTGGACAGACACAATATGATCTATAAAAACTTTGAATAAGAGCATAAGACTGGTCTCAAATGCTTTAAAGTTATTGTGGTGGTCAGATCATTCAAAAATGTACACAGAGGTAAATGATTGAGAATCTGATTATTTAGGTCTGTCTCGGTGAAATACAGTAGGAGTGCTGGCAGAGAAACAAAGAGGACTTACAAAAGAAGTCTGAGACGACGACCAGACCAAACTCAAGTACTCGTGACAAAACAGCTAAATGCTTAAAAATAAGACTCAAAATATTGCAAAGAACCAGTGGCAATTGACAGCATTTAAGCTACGATAACCAATTAGTTCACTACCTTGTCATTATATATACACAGAGGGAAAAAAACAAAAGTTAAATCAAACCAATATCACCAAGGAAAAGCTGAAAGCAAGCAGTAAATATGCTGTTACCATTTATTTACAAAACATAAGCTATTTTTTTAAACAGGATTATGCAAATAATGAAGTTGTTAGTTATGCGACCACACAGGGACTCGGTGTGGGTGACGATTTAAACATGCAGATTCAGTGCTCCCTCTAAGCCTTCAGCGTGAAATGGGACCACGACACTCAGCGGGGAGAAAGACAGACCAGCTCACTTCCTTTCACTTTACATTCCACATTCACCTCTGATGTATTAAGTAGCTTTGGAGGATGATTTTCTCCTTACACTTTGACTCTGTGTAGAGAAACTGCTGATCAATGCAATGTTTCAATCTCCAGATTTTGAGTTGTTTTCCCCCTATGTGCTCAAAGAAATATGTGAAATGACCACGACCTGTTACCACCTCATTGCATGGTGGTGGCAAACGTTTTGAAATCACATGTTGGCACCACGGAAACAAGGCAGCCAATTAGGATCCTTTCATGTGGTGGACACAACACGGCAGAGATGAATGTTAGGACCCCATAGGTAGTATATAGAGCAAGAAAGTTTGCATGGGGGAGATCGCGGTGGTGGATAGGTCAAACAGACACAGGACTTTCACCCAGGAGACCCCTGTTTGTGTCCCGAGTGAAGCT